TTCCTTGTTAAAGCAGCTGCAGTTCCTACCTGACACTTGTAATCTTCCACGTCAGTGAACTAGCGTGCTCTGAAATTCGGGGCCGGGTGAGCTCCCCTATTAGCTTTGCTGCTGAGAGAATCTATGGGCTATGAATGGCTAAAAGTCATTTATGGATGAGGACTTTTCTCCAGGCTTCTGCAGCACAACCCCTGTTTGAGCCAGGGAGAGGCTGTAGCTGCAGAAGAGCAACCTTTGCTATGTTTCTTCGCTTACCCACCTTTGTATGTGGGGCAGTGACTCCTTGCCTGGCTCTAGAGCAGTCAAAGATGACAAATTGAAGGATGATGATGAAGAATGATGTGGCATTTATAGGTCCATGTTTGCAGAGCTCGTGCAAGGGTTTGTCTGCATGAAGGAAGGGGGTAAAAGGAGGGTGGCTGTATCTAGCTGGAATACCTTAGAGAAGCAACCACGACCTGGATAAGTCAGATAACTTGAGTGGATAAATCAGTGTAATCTAAAATCTCATTATCCAATGTGGAGGAAAGCACTCATGCCGAGGCTGGCAGGGGAAAGGGGAGCAGAGGAGGAAGGCAATGGGCTGCAGCAGGACAGGGGAGCTCAGCAGCGTCTGCCCGGCTCCCTGCTCGGGGACACGTTTATCTAGGAAGCTGGAGCGATGTGTGGAGCCGTGAACTGGGGCTGTCGTTTCCCGGCTGTGCTGTTCGAGGGGGCCGGAAGGAGGCTCTCCGCAGAGCTGCTCGTGCTCAGGTCCTTTCCTGGTCTGGCTCGAGGCTGCTTCGAGGACCTGGCCTCACTGCTGCCCAGCTCTCCTTCCACCCCCTCGCATCCCCTCACCCTTGAGCCCTCCCAGACCTTTCAGCATGTGGAATAGTTAACTCTTTGCTTTGAGAGAACAGGGATGTTAGCACAGTTGAAGGTAGTTTTTTAAAATGCCTGAAGAAGTTAGCTCAGCTCTTGCTGGTCCTGTGCACAGTCACCCCAGGGCCTGGTAAGGCTGTTGGGAATGGCATCCCTGGATGTGAGCTGGGACGTGCATGTCCCACTGCTGTCTCTGGAAAGCACCTTGATCTTGTTCGGATCAATCTGTGATGTTTGGAGATGTGCTTGGAGATGTACAGCATTTTAGTGGATCTTCTTAGGGTGCGAAGAAAACGTGTCGCCATGAGATCTTGGGGACAGGCGGTTTGATGCACTATGAGCATGGCTTCAGAGCTGCTGCTCCCTCTCTCTCACTGTGGGGGAACAGCAGACTTGGTGCCTGTTTGCCCAGGGGGACAGAGCGTCTGTGGTGCAGGGGATGGCCACTTTGTGCTTTTAGAGGTGGTATTTCTACTCCTCCTTTTTGCACTGCCCAAGCATTTGCCTCTGAGACGTGGTGGCGTCAGCATCTCGTCCTGCCTGGTGGTGCTGGGGGCAGCTCTGGGGGGGCTGTGTTTGGTAGGAGGGTGCCAGCGTTCTCCCGGCTCCCTGCTTTTTAAATGGTGACCTCTGCCTGCACCTTGGGGGCAGAGCACTGGCTCTTCCTCTCCTGTTCCCCAGCTCTCCAGGCCGGGCTTCAGTCCTGTCCTGGTCTTATCGCCCCAGACACGCTGACAGTCATTGCTTGTATGATCTGTGGTGGCTTCTCGGGAGGCGCGTGGCTGCTCTGGCTTCTCTGCAGCATATTCAACTGTTCCAAGGTGTCTCGGATGTCTGGCTCTGAACTTGTTTGGGAAGCTTGACTCTTGGGTGCAGTCAGTCTGGGATGGATTTCTCAACTTATTCATTCTGCCATAACTGTATATGAGGATCTTACGGTAACTTTTTATGGGGAAATTAAAGGGAGGGGATTTTGTTGTCTATAAAGCGTACCTTACACATCTGGAGCTTGTAATTCTCCAGGACACGATCCTGTGAAGAAGGGATCATAAGGAAGAACTTTAACTTAAAAGTCACCAAACGATTAAAGAGCCATAGCATAGATGAGGGCTCGGCAAGGAAGGGCAGCCACTTCTGGCTCCGACTGTGATATCAGATCAACTTACTGGGATGTTGTAAAACAGTGTGGGACTCGGAATGACTTCCTCCTTGCCCACAAGCTCAGTGGGATGTACTAGGTGGAACATGGCTTTGGTGTGTGCTCCTGGGATGTTGTAGGACAGCCAGATTTGGTGTCCTGGTACTCACTCCACAGAGCCTACTCGGACATGTAAATTGTATGGTAGGCTGAAATGCTCTGTCACTGAACCTGTGCTGGGTTTTTTTTTTCCTGCTTATATGAAGGCAGCAAAATCTGATAGGATGGAAACTAGATGATGTGAGTTTCCCAGCCTTCACTGAGGGGATTTTGCAGGCGAGGGTGATCTTTTCCTTGCCGCCTCGATGGATACCGAATGCAAGTTACAGTTTAGGGCTCTGGACGTTCTTATCCCTTGCTGAGGTTGCTCACTTGATAGCCTTGTTAATGCTTATCTAAGATTAATATGTAACTTGCAATGCTTTGGATACAATTCTGTAAGTGTGGTGCTTGTGGTAAAGGGCTGTACAAACTTGGTTACTGATGCCAGCAAGTTTTATTCCTGCCTTAGTACGAAAGGGTTTAGGATTTTCTGACAGCTTTTGCCAGCGTCCCTGGGCGGCAGCGCTGCTGGTAAACGTTTGACGGCTCCGGCGGGGAAGGGCAGGTCAGCGGTGGGAAAAGCGGGAAAGCGCCGAGCCTGGTGCTCCCCAGCCCCAGCTCCCTCACATGGGTTAATGTCTTTATGCCAAAGCTTCAAAGCTGCATCCTCTTTCTGCTAGCGTTTTTGTCCTAAGGAAACGTAGCAGCTGTACTTGCTTTGTTGGTAGTGCAGTTTTTAATTATTGCTGATGAGAACAACTCTGAAATCATATTGCAAGGTCCAAGCTGCTGCGTATCTTAATGGCATTGTATTATGAAAAATACCCTTTTTGGCAAGGAGCTCCAAGCTGTTCCCTTTTTAAATCTCAGACAATAATCCCACGTGACTCAAGCATGTCAGTTTAGAGGGGTTTTTTAGGAATTGAAAGGAGTGTCGCTCCAGCAGACCAGTTAGATGGTCTTGAGCTTAGAGACTGGACTACATAAATTTTCCTTCTCTATATGCTGAGACTGCTGTTTTCCCTGTACCTTGTACGAGGTGTGGAAAAGATACCATAAAGGGTGGATGGTCTGGGGATATTGCTACAAGTAAATCTTGCATTAGATACAAGTGAAAATCATGCTTATTGCAAAGCAGCCTTTATACTCAAAAGCTTGAAGCAGTTGTGCACTGCTCTTTCACTAACAGGTGCCGCCTGGAGTATTGCAGTTTGAGTTCCTGCTGGACCTGGGTGACTTAGCTCCAACTTGGAGCTGAGGCACCCAAAGTCAGCTAGCCTGGGGGTTTTATGATCACGGACATGGCCCTACAGAATAGGAGTAGCAATTTAAGTGTATGGGACAGGGTGCTTGGATACTGACAGGGTAAACACCTCCGTATAAGCCTATACGGAGATGGTAGGGCAGAGCTGGGGAGGCTGGGGCTGCCCTGTGCGACCTGCCCTACGCGTCTGGTGGAGCTGTTGGCGCGTGCCAAGCATCCCGCGCGCACAGGACTGGCCTCTGCTGCCCCACAAACTGCGGGCACAGGCAGCCCGCTGCCGGCATCAAACACCTCCCAGCGTTCAGTCTTGCTGTTGTGATAGCAAGAAATGGGTCCTCTGGGACCTGCGGCATGTGCATCATGGGCAAACTGCCCCCCCCCGCCCCCATGCTAAGCTTTCTGGAGACAAAGCATGTGAATAGGAACTGGACTGTGCTTTAGCCATAAATGGCATTATAAACTACCATGAGTCTTGGTCAATGAAGAACGAGTGCAGTCCTCAGTGCTGTAAGCACAGATCCTGTGCTTGCACTTAAGCATGACAATTGGGAGGGTGTTTTGCCTCATGCATGTTAACTCGAGCAGTCCAGGCTGGTTTAAGAGTCAAACCACTGACCAGAAACAAAATCTTGGACCCCCATTAGGAACAGCTCAGCTGCAGCATGCGTGGGGCTGTACATGTGATAATGCTTTTTGTTCAGCTGTGCTGAACTTGTAAAACATGATTGGAAAATCAGGTCTTTGTTTTTTTTGGAATATCCTAAACAACTATAACATTCTTCCACGGGAACCAGGCTGTTAAAACTTCAGAAAGTGAAGGTTGTACTGTGTGGCAAGAATTAAACTTAACCGAGCCAGTAAATCCATGACTCTGTTAAAACTGTCAAGCCAAAAATAATTTATAATCTCCAAAGGGGCATAGTTAATCTCCTTCTAATTTGGCAGATTAACAAATCGGTGATTCCAAAATCTGTTTCAATGGTGTGGGATGTGTATAGTAATTTTAAATTAAAACCCAGCCTACCTTCTGTCTGCTGTGGTCTAGCTGTATTATAGATTGTTTGAACTGGTGAAGGGCAGCACAGATTAAAACTCCCAATTTGATGCATTTCCTGGAAAGAATAACCTCAAGTTTAGCCTTTTCTCCTGCGTGTCCTAAGGTTCCTTGTTTGCGGTGTACAGTGGTGGCATGGGGGATTGCCTCCAGCAGAAGAATTTTTTTTTTTTTTCTCTCTTCTCTCCTCTCCTCTCATTCAACACCTGATTTCTGTGGTCTGGGAAGGGAGGAAAAAGGAAAAGTGATTCCAGTTGGCCTCTCTTTCTCAGCGTCCCCCTGCTTCAGGGGCCAAAGCTGTGTGGGAGATGGACACCCACTTGCTGGCCTTGGACGCGGGGGTGGTGCTGGGGAGAGCCTGGCCAGATCTCCTACACGTGCTGTTCTTCTGCCTCGTCCGCCTAAGTGTTGGCTTAAATCACTATTTTTATTTTTAGTTTATTTTTTTTCTTTTTAACTGAAGCTCTCCCTCTGTTTCCTCCCCTTGCTCCGAAGCGAGCAACGGGCTTAGGCGGCGGATCTCCTGCTGCTTGGCCACGGTGCCCGGCACGCAGGAATTTCCCCCGCTTCGTCTCCTAATGAGCCTGAGGAACAAACGCCGAGCTGTGAATGTTCGCTGCCGGCTCGCCAGCGGCCGGGTGAGCGCTGCCTGTTGAAGAGGTTAGCAACCCTCTCCCTCCGCCTGCTGAAGGGCCTTTCCTGGCGCCCTTAACTGTGCGCCGCCCGCCAAAGGGAAGCGGGGTCCCGGCGAGGAGGGCAGGCCGGCGGCGCTCGCCCTGCTAGACCGGGAGAGCTCCGCGTACGGGGCGGGATGGAGAATAAACGAGGGATGCAGTCATGTGGAATTGCATCCCTTGAACTGCAATTAAAGTAGGAGAGTCAGAATCTCGCTAGGAAGGGTAATATTTAACTTGGGCAAACGCTTGTTATGCTCTGGGCTCCGGCCGGCCCGCCTCGCTTCGCCCTTCCTCGCAAAGAGGCGTCGCAGCCCGTGAGCGAAGCTCTTCTGGGGGTTGTCCGAGTATAAAAGCAGCCCTGCTGTTTCCTCGGAGTCCTGCGCGGTCTTGCCGGTGTTTCCCAGAGGTACTGCCCTGGTGTGCAGATAAATTATGCCCTCGTTTCTTTGCCTACAGCGTTGCTTGCGTAGGGCCACGTATCAAGTGTGTCGGGTGCTCGAGCCCTTGCTGTCGGTTTAACTGAGCCTGCCTGTCTAGGGATACATGTCTTAAAATATTCAGCTCTCGCCCGCAACTTTGGAAGCGCCCCCGATGCTCCCTTTGGCTCCCCAGCACCTTCCGTTGCCCTTCGTTGCCTATCAGGGTGAAAGGCTTGTTCACATGAGTGCTTGAGCGGATAAAATGCTCTGTTGGTTGTGTTGGAAATCCAAATTTTCCTGTATGTACAGGATGCCTCGCGTTACACAAAAACCTTAGCTCAGCCAGGAGCTGTGGGATTGCTGCTGGGATTGCTAGTGAAGCTTGCCCTCTCACTGTGCAGATTATTCTGTAGTCCTTAAATTCTTACTCTCTGTTTTTTTTTTTTTTTTTTTTTGATGAAGCCTCCAGAATTTTTTTTTTGGCCTTAAATTTTTTCTCTCTTTTTTTTTTTTTTTTTTTTTTTTACTTGATGAAGCCTCCACAGATTAATTTTTCTGAGGCAGCTGAGACACACACACCCATATCTGTGCGCAAAATCCCAGCAGTCAGGTTTTGGTGAAACATTGCTGCAGTCTCTGATCTTTGCCCGCTTGCTTCATGCACGTGCCGGCTGATAACTTGCCAATTTTGGGGAAGGGTGGTTTGTAATTACCAGCTCTGTGCTGCTGCGCTGTTAATTCTTAGACTACTTAACGTATCAAATTATTCCTTCCTGTGCTATTTATAGACAAAGGACTAAGTTACAGTAGTGATGTTAATATTGAATTCCCTAAAACCAATAGGAACCTCCTATTTATTATTTTGGCAGCCTGTATATTCAGGGAATACTGTGCTACTGAAATTTGAAGACTAATGGGGACAGACTTACTAGCCCGTTAGCTATTGGATGCTGCTAAATCTCCTAGTCAGCTTGTTTACTAGTTAAGACCATCTATCATGTGGCAGTTAACTATCTTAGCTGTCTTTCTCTTCCTTGGAGGCTTAGGCTATGGTGAGCACGACTAAAATCCTTTGTATTGCTCATGCTGATGGAGCTGAATTGCTGCTGGGGATCTGCTGGAGGAGCTTAACAAAAGGCTTAATGTAGACATGACTCCGCTCCCTATTCTGTGTCTCTGGGCCCTCTGAAAGGTCCTTGCAGCGGTGGGGATCTGCTCGCGCCCGGGCGGTACAATGGGGCCCTGGCTGTGACTGGAGCTTCTGCACGGCCCCAGGAGCACTGCCTCCACCCGCGCTGCCTGCCACACGTTCCTCTTTCCGATTTTTTTTCTTTGCGTCTCATATGTGCAGTCATAGTGCAAACACAGCTCAGCACTTTGTGTGCTTTCCAAATGTCCAAGGGGGTGGTTCA